GCATCATCTTCACTGGAAACCCACTAAACTGATTGAAACAAAATTTCCATTCATCCAAATTGCTTCTAGATGCAACTCTAGTCTCGATTCCAACTCCTAGTTACTACTTGCGATCAAAGCTCTTATTCCAATAAGACTAGAAAGAAACCAACAATCCCACTTGATAACTCAAAAAAAATGGCCAAAGAAGAACAAGATGCCCAACCGGAAACCATCTAGCACAAAGAAGACAAATATCGGGATTGGATTCAAGAAGATTGCCCGACGATCTCAGACAATTGAATACAAACAGACCAATTTCTGTGTATATGAAGTACTGGAAAAAGAGTCGCCCAACAGGTTCGGGAAGGAAAAATAGAGCTCAGACGTCAGTTGAAGGAAGCCCAAATGTCTAAAATCAAAGAGGTCATCAAACCACAGAATTAATGGTATGTGAATAAGTCTATCTCCTCGTAATGAATCTTTTGACATTCTCAAGAATTTGTAGAAAAATCGAAAGATGGAACCAGCTCCGAGTCACATACTAACACCACCATGGTTACCATCGAGTCTCTGGAAGTCGAGCATACCGTCTTGATGGCTAACCCTAGCCAATATCACCGATTAAACCCAATGACCTTAGTTCCTATAAAATGTTGTCCTTTGCCCCAAAGCAAAGAGGAAAAGACATGTATCAAGCTTTTCAACTCGATCCAGAAACCAGCTCGGCTATGTGATGCAATTACACACGACTATAGAAGAATGATGCGACCAGCACTCAATCTATATCCCCCCTGAAGCATCGACCAGAACTGCCTTTGATCCTACAGGCTCATTATTGAGTCCCTCAGCTCAACGTACTTCATAAAATCGATGTTGTGACCGTGAACAAACCTCTCTACTCGGAGGATCAATCATTTTTTTTTCTGTTTTTTCAAGAAGAATAGAGTCTGTAGTTAATCTAGAGGACTACCACAGAAGAAGCCATCCGTTGTTGTTATTCTTTTTTGGAAATCAAATTTTTGCTTCACCATCATAGTTTTTGGTTAGCTGAAAAACCATTCCGTTGTTTTTTGACTTCATCTTTCTTCGTTTTATGTCTTGGAAGCGTTCATCTACTTGTGATTTCATGAACTAAAAAAGGCAATCTTGTACAATAAAGCCTAAGAAAATGAATTAGCCTTGTTGTTTGTCTAAACAACTACTTGCTGAGTTGAGATAAAACTTCAAAATATTGGATAACAATGTTCAAACACCAGCGAGATCACTTCTCTTCTACAGGTCTTAATTTGCCACAGACTGACTCATAAATTGCTTGTTTCAAACAACTATGAGCCCAATTACTGGTCATTGCATTATTATCAAACTCGGTTCAACTTATCAGACACCTTTTAGACAAGAGTGTGTATTCACTGATTTCTGGTATTCAATTTGTCAAACAGACCTTGTTGAGCTTTTGATTCTATCGCTCGGCTTGCTGCAAGCTATTCCTTCGCATCAAGCAAAACCTCTTGCACAGTTATCTCTTCTAAAAATCTAGCATTATAGAATCACTTTGACTAGGGCTTCAATAGTAAATAAAACTAAAAGAAATCGGAATCAAAACACATTGCTGCTCTTCTTCTATCAATAAGTCGGAAACAACAACCTTCAGCCCACAGTCGCGATTTTAGCATGCTTTGGAGTCGATCGTTTAAAGTGATACAACAGCTCAGAAACGTTTTGAATAACTCACACATGGAAGGCATTACCAGTAAGCCAAAAAAGTACCCTTATTCCAATCGAGGATCTTCCATTCACAGTCAACACTGCACCCTCAGAATCAGCCCGGATTAAGAGATATTAGTGTGACTTTCCTGATGATGAAGACTTGAGGTTGCAGACAGAAAACGCAAATGTGATACCAGTCTGGTCTGAGACACTTCCTAAAGCAACGGAATGTATGATCAATGGCAATCCATCTAATGCTGCCTCAACAAAAATACGCTATCGCCTAGAAACGACACGACTCCAAGTCGATTGTCGGAGTACCCTGAAACGACTTCAAGTCAATGGTTGGAGTACCCTAAAGAGGTGATTGATATCCTCAACTTTCATAACAAAGATGGAGAGGAAGCAATCACTCTTGCAGCCCGATTTGTAGCTAGAAACCCGTTAAAAAAATTTACTCGATTGAGGCGCCAATCCCTCATGATCAGCTTTCATCAACGACTTGGGAGGACGGCCATCCAGCACCATATCTGAATGGAACTGTATTCAACAATATGCACCCATCACACGCACTAGCACTCTTCCTCTGATTATACCCTCGCCTCAAAGGTCCATTAACTCTTTTATCTTTAAGTTGATTGAGGAAACAAATAAGCCCACTTCAAACTTTAGAATCCAATAAGCAAATCACAATCTTCCTGGTCCTCATTGGTCTATCTTGATCCGAATAGAGTACAAAAACACAGTGAAACAGAGAAGTTAATATGTCTCCCTATAGTAAGCTCGGTGCATTGGCCCTACCCAAAGCCAAGACGTTCCAATGGCACATCAAAGGCACCCAACTCACAATCAGTGGTCACCCTACCACAAATCTCTGCTTGTAGGGAGCTAAGAAACAGCCTTCAGCTTCAAAATCTGATACTCAAGCAGAGATGATGCACTAGTGGGAATTGATGAAAAAATTGTAGCAACATTTAAGTATGTATTATAGGTATCTGGTTTTTATCAACTGAACTATGAAAGGCAACTATCAATCTTTTTCAAATCAGAAATCAGCTAGGCTACATAATCAATGATAAAGGACCGTGTTTTCCTTCCAACAAAGCAATGAAAATATAAGCTACACAACTAGACAAAAGAGTAATCAAATAGAGAGAAATGCTTGACAAAGTATTAAAAATCTGTGATGAAAAAATAGATGTGGATCAATTTAGTTCAACCTCCAGTTCTATAGCTCAATATTTTTAACTAAAAACTAGTTTTGCTCATCAAATAAGCTCTTAGAAACCTTGAAAGAATAATCCAAGATATACAATCAAGAATGAATCTTCATGTTATATTTTAAGAATCCCTGAACCGGGCAATCCAGTTATATCCAATGATCCCTGAACTGGAAAGTCAGTTATATTCAAAGAAATCCCTGAACCTGAGGAAACACTTGAGATGGTAAATCTAAAATTAATCAAGATAGGTACTAACTAAGAGTGATGATTTTTCCAGATTGACTAAAAAATACTTAGCATCCCGGTAGAAACTAATAAACACTATGATTAATCATGCAGGCAAATAAATGATAAATGTTGAAAATGGAGCAGAAATTTATGGTAGATCTTCAATACTTTATCCCTTTCTGCTTATTTAGGAAAATAATTCTTTGTGAGTCAGAGACTCATCTTAGGGGTAGGGAATGTCAGCTTGCTACTATAGCAGAGACAACCTGTCATAGTACACAAACAATTTAGAAAATACAAAAAAGACATTATTATGAATAGTGCAGGAAATAAATGAGAAGATCAAATAATAAGGGTATTATTTCTCAATATTCTTAATCTATATGAAGAATAACCTAGGGTAACTCACTCAAAGGTACCCTATATTTCAACTACTTCATGTGGGAAATCTACATTAAAGATATAGAGTGTACCTTCAAGCAGGAGATGAAATATGCTTATGTTTATAATTAAATATGCTAATAAACAGGTTTAAGACCTGAAACTGATTTGTTGTTTCAAACATACAATTGTATATTGATAACACGTGTGTGGCACTTTTCCAAGGAAATAGCCACATGTTTCAGCTTTAATCTTCTACAGAACACCTGTGGCACATTTCCAAGGAGATGGTCACATGTTTCAGCCTCCATGCATGAAGCGCCCACAAGTTGACCCTGATCTCCCAGATGCCTCCACGGGTATATAAAGAGCCCTCTGTCCCCCTAAAAAAGAATTCCTCAGATTATAACAACCCGCTTTAGATTACCCACCGTCCCAAATGCTTAACAATTGTATCTGTCTGGTAATGTATTGTCTCTTGCTTTAATTCTCTGTCTATCAGAACCTCAAGACTTAAGGGGCTTTATTAGTACATAATTATGCTCCCTTCTTTCTTGAGATTCTTACTACTTTCTTCTGGGATTTAAACCACCCCTGTTAAACAGGCCCCAGTGTTAACAGGTACCTAAATCCTCTGCTTTTGCACGATACCTTAGAGGGAACTAAACCACCCCTGATTTATCAGGCCCCTCTGTTTAAATTATATCAATATTTATTGATATAATTGTTCATTTCTACTATCTCATAACCTTGTAATTACCACTCATTGTTGGAATTACACACCGGACTCTTCAGTCCCAGAGTTCAAACTCTGTCATCTTAAGTTTTGCACCACGTGTAGCTAGAAGATTTACCATCTTGGCATCACGGTGGCTGACACTTTCAGTCGCGAGTATGCAAAGAGTAAAACTGACCAAGTGAGCTTGTCTCATGACCAGGAAGAGAAGCTCACACAAAGCCCAGGAGACACATAAGATTGAAACGTAGATCCCGAGAATTCACTTGACAAGAATATATCAAAGAAAGCCGTTCAAACAGACCGCCCCTCACCCCATTCTCCCTGAAGGTTGTGAACTTGTGGAACAGAAAAACAGTTGTGTTCCAGAAATGAGACTTCACCAGCTCAAGTTAGATGCAGAAACCCAGGTGTGAATGCGCGAGGTGTCCATTTGATTGGGCTTGCCGCACTTTGTTAGCATGCGTCGTACTACCATGTATGTAAAATATTATGAGAAAGATTATCATGAGATAGTAATAGAAAGTGGATTCGAGGGAGTATGCACACAGAACGAAAGGCCTTCTTTGCTCTCCGTCAAGGTTCTTCATCGATCTCCGACTTTAACATTCAGTTTAACACACTACTGTACTCGGTCGATCTCTCACCTAAATCTGCTCTCGAACATTACGAACGCGCGATAAATCAAAAGATTATCGAGCTGGGTATTCAGCGAGGGGGTTGGTCTGAACTGACCAGTCTAGATGACATGCAGCGTATGGCGGTCAAGCTGTCTCTGGATGTTGGCCGAGTTAATCAAATCAATCAACGCAAGTTCACGGTTCCACCTCCACGCGTCGAGTATCGTGTCTCCAGTTCGGCACCGGTCGTGGCTAAGCCTTCTCAAGCAGTTCCGATGGATATTGATTCAGTGTTGGCTTCAGTCGGTTTTACTTGGCCGGCTTGGAGGAAGGCGTGCACGGACAGGAAAACCTGCTTCCGTTGCCTCCAGTCTTTCGATCAAGATCATGTCGACTATCGAGGCTGCCCTCTCCCGGAATCTAAATGGCTCAAGAAGGAATCCTTGATACCAATTCGGAAGGATTGGGGCGGAAAATTAAGAGAAGACGAGCACGACTTCGGGCGTTCTTCTTATCGTTCTTATGGTGACTCTGCGGATAAAGGGAAGAAGCGCGAGTCCGTCTCAGAACTTGACAGTATTCACGCTCCCAAGAAGCGACTTTCTTCTTCTCAATCGGTTT